TTCTTTTTCTTTTTTTTTGGTAGATATATAGAGCAATGATTAAATTAACAAAAGATGTAGGAGTAATACCAACAATGTAATATATGAATTCTTTTATCATTTTTTATCGAAAGTTTTTAGAAAAACAAATGTAATGTTTATTATTATTATTATTATTATTATTATTGGAGATATAAAAGATATAAGTAGGCCAGCGAATAAGATAAAGGGTAAGTGTTACGCGTGACATAACAGAAGAATATATTTTAACAATATGATTGGATAAATGAGAAACGAAAGATGAACACCTTTACAAGATTATATGTGTGTACGAAAGATTTTATTTGCGTACGAACAATTATGAGATAATATAATAAACGATATAACGAATAATAATTTATTCGTTTGAAATTATTTCACGAGTTAACACGAGTCAAAGTGTATATTTAGAATATATCTTGACTTTTGGTCTAATCATTTTCACTTAAGACCCATCAAAATTATCGAGACAATAATAAACGAATACACTTTATCGTATTGATTGTAAGTTTTAAAAAATAATTCAACAATACAAGTAACTCAATCGAAGAATTGTTTTTTTTTCTTTCTTTTTTTTTTTTTCTTTTTATTTTCTTCAAACAATCAACCCAATCATTCAAATACGTGTTTTTGAGAACAATTGTATACTGTCACGTAATGATATACATTTCGTAAATCCAATTAATCTCTTATGCGATTAAAATTGATAAATATTTATAAAGTTTTAATTGTGTTAGTTTTTCATTAAACTTGTTAAATAAAGATCTATAAAGTCAATATTATATCAAAATTATATTTTAAAACTCATCACATATCATATAAATATTTATGTTTATTCATTATATATAATTACCCCTTACTTTAAAAAAAAAATAGTTATTTTATATTTTTAATCACTTTTATTTCTAAAAAAAAAAAATGCAATTTCTTTTATCATTATTAATATATTTTGCAGAAGATTCTGGTTTCTTTAAATTTAGATAAAAATTTTTGAATAATTTGTTTGATTGCCTTATGAAACAAAGTTTTATTCCATCTTAATAATTGTGGTGAATATATTAAAAATTTCTACATATACCTGCGTCATGAGACGTGAATACCTTTAAAGGAGACGTGAGATCTTTACGAATGATTGTTGACCTGAATATTTTTCTTTGTTTACTTGATCGATCGTTTGATTATGGAGGTTTAACCGCAAAAAAAATCAAAGTTTTTGTACAATTTCATGTGCAATCTTGTGTGGGTATAAATATAATATAAAATAAAATAAAGAACACGATAATAATTTTGTTGAAAACATTACGGTAAAAGTTTTTAGTTAAATACAATCATTTCGCAAGTTCACAAAGATATCTTTCTTTTTATATACCTACCGATTTCACTTTCTTATTTAAATGCAATAATCGTTCTTCCAAGGTTTGTAGAATAATCGGGGATAATTTTTTTTCCATTATGAATATTTTATATCAATACAATAAATTTAAAAAAAATGTTATTGTACTTTTGTATTAAAATTATATATTAATACTATATTAATAACACAAAAATTTTTGTATTAATATTAATTCAATAAGTATCAATAGTAGTTTAAAACAGTTAACTCATATATTCCATCTATGCAATTAATAAAAAAAAATTAGCTTTTGCAAAAATGAAATTATTAAAAAAAAAGACAATTTAAAACAATTCCTAAATTTTGTTATTATAAAAACACGTTTACTCACAGTTTCGGTTGTTTCAACATCGCTATGTCTATCTGGATGATCTAAAAACAGACAAATGATTAAATAAAGAAATTGAAGAGCTGAAATAATAAATCACTTTCACAAATGTTTTCGTAATTATATCAATCACGCGTGAATAAACATTAATGAATGTATGCGAGTGTCAATGTCACTAGCAATAGTTCTTTATATTTAGGTCATCATGTAATTACGTTTTGACGGCTTTTTAAACGAATTAATTGATTTATCAATAGCTTTATTAAATCCTTAGTTGATAAGTCTTTTCCTGTTTACTTTACGCGTATCTTAGAATGACATATAAAATTATAATTTATCGAATGTTTGAAATTAACAAAAAAAAAAAAACTGCTAAATTATGATAAAATAAAATTGATGAACAACTGTCAAATTTTTCAATGAAGAAATAAGCCGATGAACAATAAAATTAATAAGGAATTATAAAATAATCTTGATTAAAAAGAAATATAGATATAT